GAAGGCAAGCCAATCACTGAAATTCAACAACAGCGGAACAGATGGGCCGAATACTTCGAGGAACTCCTGAATAGGCCGGCTCCAATGAATCCACCGGATATCGAAGCAGCAGACACAGATCTTCCCATAGACGTCAACCCACCAACGAAGGAAAAAATCGGAATGGCCGTCAGACAAATCAAGAGCGGGAAAGCAACACGACCTGACAGCATACTAGCTGAAGCACTGAAGTCAGACATCGAAGTAACCACAAATATGCTTTACCTTCTACTCAAAAAGATTCGGGAGGAGGAACAAGTGTCGATGGACTGGAAAGAAGGGCACCTCGTCAAAATTCCAAAGAAAAGAGATCTGAGCAAATGTGAAAACTACAGAAGCATTACACTACTGTCAATACCAGGGAAGGTCTTTAACAGAGTGTTGCTGAACCGAATGAAAGATGCAGTAGACGCCCAACTTCTAGATCAACAAGCTGGATTCTGTAAGGATCGATCGTGCACAGACCAAATTGCAACACTACGGATCATCGTCGAACAATCGGTTGAGTGGAACTCATCACTATACATCAACTTCATTGATTATGAAAAGGCATTTGACAGTGTAGATAAGAGAACGTTATGGAAACTTCTTCGACACTGCGGAGTTCCTGAGAAGATTGTCAATATTATCCGGAACTCATACAACGGACTACAGTGCAAAGTCGTGCATGGAGGACAGCTGACAGATGCATTCCAAGTAAGGACCGGAGTCAGACAAGGCTGTTTACTCTCTCCCTTCCTCTTTCTTCTGGTGGTCGACTGGATTATGAGGACCTCGACATCTGAAGGAAAACACGGAATACAATGGACAGCTCAGAATCAATTAGACGATTCGGACTTCGCAGATGACCTAGCTCTCCTATAGCATACACACGAACAGATGCAGATGAAGACAGCCAGTGCAGCAGCAGTCTCTGCATCAGTAAGCCTCAGCATACACAAAGGGAAAACCAAGGTCCTCAAATTCAAAGCGGAGAACAGCAATTCCATCACTCTTGATGGCGAAATTCTGAAAGATGTAGAGTCCTTCACATACCTGGGAAGCATCATCGATGAACAAGGAGGTTCAGATGCAGACGTACAGGCAAGGATTTGCAAAGCAAGGGTCGCATTCCTGCAATTGAAGAACATATGGGACTCAAAACAACTTTCAACCAATATCAAAGTGAGAATCTTCAATACGAATGTCAAGGCAGTTCTACTGTATGGAGCTGAAACTTGGAGAACTACAACAACCACAATCAAGAAAGTACAAGTATTTATAAATAGCTGTCTTCGCAAGATACTCAACATCTATTGGCCGGATACCATCAGCAACAGCCTTTTGAGGGAGAGAACAAACCAGCTTCCAGCTGAAGAAGAAATTAGGAAAAGACGATGGAAACGGATAGGACATACAATATGCAAATCATCAAACTGCATCACGAGGCAAGCCCTAACTTGGAATCCTGAAGGGAAGCGAAAAAGAGGAAGGCCAAAGAACACATTACTTCGGGAAATAGAAGCAGATATGAAAGGATGAATTACAACTGGAAGGAGCTGGAAAGGATTGCCCAGGACAGGGTTGGATGGAGAATGCTGGTGAGCGGCCTATGCTCCTTCACGAGGAGTAACAGGCGTAAGTAAGTAAGTTATGTTCTAACAGAACCACCATCGATAACCTGGAAGCAGTGGAAGACCGTTTTGTCCTAACAATTGACTACTCAGTACTGCGAGTCCATGATCGTATTGGAGGGATTAGAACCCAGGACCCTTGATGTCGCGCGCGAACGCTCAGCCGGTATCAAACGGTAATAATGTTGAACTTTTACCAATCCACGAAATTGTGCCAACGTCCACTATTGTCTTTAGAGAGTCACTGCCTGACAATAGACGCGGCTGAATTACAATGGTCACAGCTTCTCACCATAACTTTAGGAAATACCTATTGATGCCAATCACTAGTGAGCATATGATGATTAGGATTAAAAATAAGTTTCTATGGGGATTGTAGTTATTTAATAGGTGATTGCACACTGCTGAGGAGTGCCATACTAGGATGAAACGGCCATCTAGTGCTCTTAGGTCTTCTCTAATGGTTTAGCTTTAATCAGTCCATGAATTCAATTATTATATCATTAAAATCATCACATAAAACCCTCTTTTTAAAAAAAATTAATGTTTGTTAAATTTCAATGATTGAATGTTAAGCAAATTCAACTTTCCTCTCGTCAATCTGATTTAAGATGTTAAAAGGGAATTATTTATATAATTAAACATTAAATTATCAAAAAACCAATAATCAAATGGATTTTGTGATGTGTACTACTTATATCAACAAACATAAGTAGTATGTAGCATCAACCAAAAGTAAAATGCCTATTGACAGAATGTTAAAAAAGATTGATGAAAAGAGAACAAGAACAATGAATGGTTGGTATGGTAACAAAAGAACAATAAGGTCTTGCAGAGACTATAATTTATGGACAAATCAATCAGATAACATATAACAGTTCTTGGATTTCGGCGTAACATTCATTTATCGATTTAAGGTAAATAGCTCTTTAAGATTATAGCTGATGTCAGTTCGTGATGAAAACCCTTAATCCAAATTTCTAACCTTAACCATCAACTGTAAATTATAATCTTTAATCTTATCACAAGTTTATCACCTTGATTTGATCCTAGTTATTAAGTGAACACTCTCAAGGTTACTTTAGTATCGCTCAATGGTCGAACATAAATAGTAGTTTCATCTAGGCATTTCACTCTCAATTGATGATATATACTACTTATATTTGTCGAAATGAGTAGTATACACCATCATTCTAATTTAGACGAAATTTTATGTAAATTATTGTATATACTATAAATAAGTACATCATCTAATTCATATTATTACTATAAATAAAAGTTGATAAATGGATCTTCTTGTTAGAAGTTTAAGGCAACATCATTTTTACTTAATAAATAGTTGTATATTGTACATTTTATATCAGTCAGTCAGTCAGTCAGCTACAACGTAGGACCAGGCACATCTATACATCGGTCAAAGTTGCCATAATACTATTATAATCTTCAATCAAAAGCCGTGACCAATAAAAACAGAAGAATAGACAGTGGAGATAGCGTTGTACAGTTTGTCTAAAACGAATAATTCCTCTTTCAATTTAATTATCTCAACAACAACAACAAAACACAATGAATTCAGTGATCACCTAAATAAATAAGACAAAGTCAATGGTTTCAATATGAAATTAGTTTTATCTACTCCATGATATCTAGTCGGTCAGTTGAAGAAAGTTGTACAACTAGATGATTGTATAAAAGCTGAAAACTCTAGTCAGTAGAATATTTGGAGAGTGAGATGAGAAGATGAAGCTGATCTGTTTATCAGTCATAAATTTGATAAAAAGAAGTCAATATTGGTGAGAAATTTACATTTAATTAATCAGTTTTAGTCGAAAATTATTAGGATAAATAGAATTATAAGATGAATAACGATCTGTATTCCTCATCTACACGAATGGGACGCTAATTTGCCTTACACATCTATCTATACTACATACCATTCCAGTGTCTACTCTACAGGACTTCAATACAATTCAGATCAAGAACACTTGATTGGCCGAACTAGAACATAAGTAAATTTTAACACCAAAAACCGACAACAATCACAATAATAATAAGGGTAGGGAAATATCGAACTCATCTAATAAATATTAGACTATCTCTACTGGTCTGATTAAGCAAATAACCAATTGTTATCTAATGACAAATTGTTTCAAAGATTGTTTTTAATAATTTCATCAGGTGAGATCAATTGAGTCAATTGAAGCTAGACCACTATGGAAAATCTGGAACCACTGGATAGCCGTTTCATCCTAGTATGTAACTCTTCAGCAGTGCGCACCCATGATCCCGCCACGCACATATATGCGTTGGTCAAAGTTGCCATACCTCATTAGCACAACATGATGAACACCGGATTCATATAAGTAGTCACTTCAATGGTAGTAATAATTAAAAGAAGAATTGTGTATAAGGATGTAGTACAGTCTCGCGCCAACGAGACTGATAGGTCCTGGGTTCGAATCTTGCGGGGTGCTGGATTGTGGATGATAGTTTGTAGTTAATAATTAAAGTTAGGAATGTTGTTTTTTGTTTTACCGCGAACTAATATCAGCTAAAGTCATAAAATGTTCTTTCATCAAATGAATAAATGAATTTAGCGCCAAAATTCAAGATCTATTATCCTGAAGCCTAATTAGCTCGTCTTACCATTGTTTATATCATTATAGAAAGGTTATAAATAAGTTTAATTAGAATTTAGTCTATCAATATTATTGTAGATTATCAAACATTCATGAGAAGAATATAATTTAAGTCAATGAATAAGAAAACTAAATGATAGAATATAAAATTAGGTAAAAGAAAAAGGAATACCACATTAGTTGATAATTAATAGTAGTATAGTATAGTTTCATTGAAATATATTTTTAATAGTTGAATTCATGAGTCAATTGAAGCTAGATCATCAAGGAAAACCTGGATGTACTGGACAACCTTTTTCGTTCTAGTATGGTACTCCTGGTTAGCTAGTTCTGCGGGATTCGGATCTAGGACCTATCGGTCACGCATGTGAGCCCTTAACCACTACATCACTGAACTGGCCAGTATCCAACGGTGTTATTGTCTAACTTCAACTAATCCACGAAATTGATCAACACATCCACCATTGTCTTCAATGAGTTACTATATCATAATAAACCCGGTCGAACTTCACTGGTCATTACATCTCATTAAAACTCCAGGAAATACCTCATGAAGCCAGTAGGGGCCTCCTCAATGGAAGTGCACAATCACGATCTCTCCTTAACAGATTCAATTGACTCATGATCTCAATTATTAAACTTACTATAATATCTATAAAAACCTTTTCTGAAATTAATTTGAATTGAATTACTTAATGAATAAACTTACCTAAATCATTGATAGCCCGTTTTTCTAATTGTTCATTCATATTTTGTTCTTTATAGATAACATGATTATCATTTTTAATATGATCAAAAAATTTTATTGTCCAATCTTTTGTTTGATAAAATAAATTTACTGACGATGATGATGATGATGACGATGCTGATACTGTCGTTGCCGCCGCCGCCGCCGCTGATGATGATGATGATGATAATCGTAATGAATGGAACAATGATAAAGATGAGTATGATTGACTTTCCAATGATATAATAGTGACATAAGTAACATATAAAAGAATAGCTTTTATAATAATATTTTGAATGAGTAGTAATGAACTACTCAAATGAATTATACTCATTTTTTTTCAATGTTATAAACAGAATGTTTTCTCTGTTGTTATATAATTATGTTCCAATAGTTGGTATTGATCTATTTTTCTTCTTCACTTCTTCTTTTTGAAAGAATCTAAATAAGAAAAAAGGGAAGATGAATGAATGAATGAAAACAACAAACAATATGATAATAGTTCTTGAGTGGAAGCTTATGCTTTTGACGTCAAAAGCATAAGCTTCCACTCAAATGTAACTGTATTATCTCTATGAATATCTTCATCAGAATGTTCTGTTACCAAGTGTAAGTGAAAGACTTTCAAACATGATAATTGTATCATTAATTATTTATGTTATTGTCAATAATGACATCATCATTAGTTACCTTTCTCAAAATACTGACATTTTAAATTTCCATGGTGTTGTTTTACTTGTATCTTCTCATTTTTATTTAGGATTGCAATTGATCAGTCTCTTATTGGCATATGTGTATACGATGCGAATCGCTTCGATATTGTCTTAAGCCATAAGCTTTATAAACAAAGATGGAAGCAAAAGTTACTGAGTTCGAGTCCTGTAGTGAACATCAACTGTGAGATGCAGGTACATCCATCTGATAACCTAGAGTATAGAATTTTAAGTGCAAACTCCTATTTCTATTTATCTATCTATCTGTCTATCATAGTTTTAGTCGCCATTATAATCTATTACGTATTTGATACAGATCTTGAAATTCCAAAATAACAATGAAATTATTAGAAGATTCATTGACCACTTATAATGTGATAGTCGATTTCTTAAAACAATGAAATAGTAAGCAATGATGGATAGTGGCTGGTAGTGAAATCCAGGACACGTGCCACTATGTCTTAATTGGGACTCAATAACTAGATTATACCTTCATCTCAGAATTCATGTTCACTCTACGAGTTGAACCCAATACCGTTCGTTTCAAGTGACATCGCATTATACAATTAGATACTGAGTCCTGACAACCAGTTATTTACATAATGTATCATGAATTTGATTATTCTTTCTCAAATAATATCCAAGTGTTATGTATTAGTAAACTCGATCATAATGTAGTTGTATATGAGTCAGTTTCTAACTGTGAAATTTAATAATACTGTCCAAATTGAATTAAGTTGAATAGGCTTCGATAAATTGCCATTAAACAAGGCTATAAACAGTTTCCTATTGATTACTTTCGGAGTCGAGTTACTAAGACTGATATGATGATATTGTATGCTAATCAATAAAATTTGATCATAACTAAAGGATTAGATCATTATGACATTAGTTACTAATCAGTAGTCAGTCAATTAAATATACATTACTTATTCATACACTTATTAGGTTTAATTTAACTATCTTAAAGGTAAGACCATTGACTTGATTTCAAAACTGGATAGAATGTAACCATTGGGAAAACAACACAGTTAATTCTTGAAATTCTCTTCTTTTCTTTCATTCATAATCAACAATCTAGTGCTTAAACGAACTTAATAGATTGATGAAGAACGAGTTGGGTATTTGGAACGTAATATACTGTATATTGAAGCCAAAAAAAGAGAAAGATCAAAGAATATATTACACCAAGAAATGGAACCAAAAAGGAGAAAAATGAACAGAAATTGGATAGAACTAGAAAGGAAGACCTAGGACAGAGTGTGTTGGAGAATGCTAGTCGGCGGCCTATGCTCAATTGTGAGTAACAGGCGTCATTAAGTAATGTACTGTATATTACATAGATCCACCTTGTTGAGATCCGATAAGAACAAAATTTACATCTTGTTCCTGGAATAATATAAATTTAATAGAACTTGTTATTAAAGGTAGTATCGAGACAGTAATATAAGCATATCTATATAGAATAATCTTCTGGAACCTTGATTATCAATCATGGGAAATTACAGGTTAATCTTGATCCATCTTGATGAGTCTACTCAAAGGCATGTCTATTTGTAATTTATCTGTAGTATAAAGACTACTGGATTATGAAGACTTTGACATCTGAGGGGAAGCACGGAATACAATGGACAGCTTGGAATAAATTAGAAGTTTTAGACTTCGCAGATGACCTGATCCTTCTACCCCATACATACGAATAAATGCAGATAAAGATAACTAGTGTAGCAGCAGCGTCTGCATCATACGTACGGGAAAAAGCAACACCCTCAAATACAACACAGAGAACACCAACACAATCACACTTGTTGGAGAAACTTTAGAACAGGTGGAAACTTTCACGAAACTGAAGGCTATCATCGATGAACGAGGAGGATCCAGTGCTGACGTGAAGGCGAGGATCAGCAAAGCAAGAGCCGCATTCCTACAGTTGAAGAACATATGGAACTCAAAACATTTACCAACCATTATCAAGGTCAGAATCTTCGATACGAACACCATGACAGTTCTACTGTACGAACCTGAAACGTGGGGAAATACCACAACTATCATCAAAAAGTGCAAGTATTTATAAGCAGTTGTCTACACAAGATACTCCAAGTTTTTTCGTCGGATACCATTAGTAACAGCCTACTGTGGGAGAGAACAAACCAGGTTCCAGCTGAAGAGGAAGTCAGGAAAAGTCATTGGAAGTGAATAAGACATTCAGTGTGGAAATCATCAAACTGCATCAAGAAGCAAGCCCTAGCTTGTAATCCTGAAGGGAAACAGAAAAGAGGAAGGTCAAAGAACATACTGCGTTGAGAAATGGAAGCAGACATGAAAAGGATGATTAGCAACTGAAAAATGTTTTCTAGGACAGGGTTGGATGGAGAGTGTTGATTGGCGGCCTGTGCTCTTTGATGAGGGTAAACAGGCGTAAGTAAGTGAGTAAGTAGGTAAGTAAGTAAGTGAGAAGTATGTAGTAATAAGTAGTTCATCCTTTTTTGGAAACATTTCCCAAAAGAAAATAATGATATAAAACCACTTTTCATTTACTTATTATTATACATCTTTATCAAATATAACTACTTAGAAGTATATAAAGAGTAAATAAGTGTTCACTTAATTAGATATTTAACTAATCTATTCATCAATCATAATTGATCATATGTTATAATAGAAAATGCACTTGACATAATTGACATAAAATTATGTTAGTTTATTGTGGAGATTGTTAAATTTCCCATAGTTTACATGATGAACTAATCTATAGGTTAAGCATTCATGCACAAGACTTAATGTCCTATGGTTTTGAAATAGTGAATGATGGTGGATGGTGGTCGATCATCTCTGATGCGGTTATAGATGTGTACTGTTGAGTATATTATTACAAAATAACTGTACAATGTTTCCTGATTTTCAATGATGACTTAATTAAGATCTACTAATGATGTAATCTAAGTAAATTTTGTATTAAATGCCTGCTACGGCCATGGGTGGGGAGAGTTCATTTTCCCTCCTGAAATGCTCTCACATGGCCACGCGTATACAACCACTACCAGGGAAGTTCAACTCACTGCCTTCTCACGGTAAGGGTGTTGTTTACAAAATTGAGAGGACGAAAAGCGAATGTCCGGTGATTTAACCAGGTTGATGGAAACGGAGAATTCACCTATGGAAGTTGGAAAACCCTGATTCCAAACCAATGGTGCACATAGGCTCCAAGATCCTGAAGGAACAAATCGCATATGAACCAGTTGTTGGTCATCAGCTACCATGGGACTACATCTGCTGACATTGCTTCACTGCCTTGTGGTTCAGACCTTTAGGCTGAAGCCTCTGAGAAAACCACCTACTTCAGTCTGGGCACCCAGGCAGTATCATAGCCTACACACAAATCAAGTGACTTGCGTGACGTATATGCATTCGATGCTCCTTCGTACCAATATTTATGTGTTCAAATAAATAATTAACTAAAGACTAATGAGATTGAACGACGAAAATTATTATAAAAACTTTGACTTTTCAAAATGAAAGATTTAGAGGTAACAATGCTAGATATATATTACTTAATATATTTATTCATCAGTATAGTAACTATGGCAACTGATAAATTTAGGGGAAAACTTTGTTTTACTTAGTAGTTTTATGAGTTTTCTGTGAATTTTCCTTAAATTACTTTAACTTTCTAAATAAATTACTAACTGGATGTGTGATTCAGTATATCAGTGTACAACTCATAAGGATTTTCATTGAATTTGAGTATATTCCAACTGATGAGTTTAAAATAAGACGAAATATTTGTCTTCAATACTATTCTGCAGCAATTTGGATGACTCTCTCTATCTCCCACATTGTACGAACATTCCATGTACCTAAATAAATAGTTTCTCTGGTTGTCATAAGGGGCATCAACTTCGTGACTTCCAAAGGAATGCGGCTTTCACCAATGAAGCATCATAACTCTTCTAAATGAAGACCTTCTAACACCCAGGGCAGAATTTAAATAGTTTGAATTATTTTTTATGGTTAGGGTTTTTTAAATGAGTTAGTTTTCTACGAGATGAGGTCACTTACCCCATGCCCAACCCTCCTCCTTTATCCAGGCTTGGGACAGATAGTAGCCTCAAAGTGAATTCCGGTGGAGTTCTTCAATACCATCGCTACATATTATGTGGACTGATATTGCATACTCCAAGATGATATCGAAAGCTTTTTGTAATGTTCCTAGATTAGTCATAATATTTGTGAATTAATATCATATTTATGAGACTCAAGTGATAGATCAACTTTCACTGATGCTGTGACACTGTCCAGCTGATAAGCTTAGACAGATAGAAATACAAATTATAAGGTTTAATGGTTACAGCCTTATACTTATTGGCATTGATATTTAGTCAAATGTGAAACTTTAACACTTTCTCCATTTAAATTTCCAGGGCTTGAACTTCTACCAGGAGATTCGCTTGCTGAATTGAAATATGCCGATGACATAGTTCTATTTGGTGAAGAGGCTGACAAAATGCACAGTCTTCTGACCACTCTAAGCAACAATGCAATCATGTTCGGGATGCGATTCCCCCCCTCGAAATGCAAAATGTTGTTTCAGGATTGAGTTGCATCGACACTCGAACTAATG